ATGCTATGTATTAGATTTAAAGTTGAACATTTTATGATGAAATGTTCACGTCCCAAAAAATATAATCGGCATACTAACCTATGCCGTTTGTGGCCAATATTGGCCAAATTTTTACAGCTTTATTTTTCAACAAAAGTGCATTCCTCGGTTGTGTTTAGCCTTAGTATCCTATATATCACGTTAAAAGTGGAACATTTATCCATTAAATTTCCAGGTAAAAAAAAGCAAATCGGCATACTAACCTATGCCGTTTTTGGCCAATATTGGCCAAATTTTTACAGCTTTATTTTTCGATGAAAGTTAATTCCTCCATTGCATTTAGCCTTAGTATGCAATGTGTTAGACTAAAAGTGGAAAATTTCACGATGAAATGTTCACGTCCCAAACAGAAAATCGGCACACTAACCTATGCCCTTTGTTGCAAAATTGGACACATTTTTAACATTAAAAGTGGGAAATTTCACCATGACAATTTATGAAAAAAAAAGCAAATCAATTGCATACTAATCTATGTGACATTTGCCAAAAATTGGCCCACTTTTCATAGATGTATTTTTCTGCAACAAGTCCTTTCCTTGGTTGGGGTTAGCCTTAGTATGCTATATATTACATTAAATGTGATACATTTTACGTTTACATTTTCACGTCTCAAAAGGAAAATAAGCGTACTAACCTATGCCATTTTTGACCAACATTTTCATAATTTTCATAGCTAGATTTTCCAAGAAAAAGTGAATTCCTCCATTTTGTTTAGCATTAGTATGCCATATGTTACATTAAAAGTGGGAAATTTCTCCATGAACATTTCAAGAAAAAAAAGGAAATCGGCATACCGTTATTTGGCGAAATTTGCCCCATTTTCATAGCTTTATTTTCCAATAAAAAGTGCATTCCTTGGTTGTGTTTAGCCTTAGTATCCTATATATTATGTAAAAAAGGAGGGGAATTTCATCCATGAAATTTTCGAGAATGAAAAGTAAATCGGAATACTGTTCCGTTTTTAGCCTAAATAAGTCCAATTTTCACAGTTTATTTTGGACAAAAGTTAATTCCTTTATTGTATCTAGCCTTATTATGCTATGTATTAGATTAAAAGTGGAAAATATCACGATGAAAAATAAGTGCATTCACAATGAAATTTTCCCGTCCAACAAAAAGAAAATCGGCATACTCACCAATGCCGTTTTGGTCAATACTGGCCAAATTTTTTCAGCTTTATTTTTCAACAAAAGTGCATTTATCCGTTGTGTTTAGCCTGAGTATCCTATATATTAAATTAAAAGTGGAAAATTTCACCATGAAATTTTTAAGTAAAAAAAAGCAAATCGGCATACTAACCTATGCCGTTTTTGACCAAAATTTTCATAATTTTCCTAGCTAGATTTTCCAAGAAAAAGTGAATTCCTCCATTTTATTGAGCATTAGTATGCTATATATTACATTAAAAGTGGGAAATTTCTCCATGAACATTTCAAGTAAAAAAAGCAAATCGGCATACCGTTTTTTGTCAAAATTTGCCCCATTTTCATACCTTTATTTTTCAATAAAAAGTGCATTCCTTGGTTGTGTTTAGCCTTAGTATCCTATGTATTATGTAAAAAGGTGGGGAATTTCATCCATGAAATTTTCGAGAATGAAAAGTAAATTGGAATACTGTTCCGTTTTTAGCCTAAATAAGCCCAACTTTCACAGTTTTTTTGGACAAAAGTTCATTCCTTTATTGTATTTAGCCTTATTATGCTATGTATTAGATTAAAAGTGGAAAATTTAACGATGAAAAATAAGTGCATTCACAATGAAATTTTCCCGCCCAACAAAAAGAAAATTGGCACACTCACCAATGCCGTTTTGGCCAATACTGGCCAAATTTTTACAGCTTTATTTTTCAACAAAAGTGCAATCCTCGCGTGTGTTTAGCCTTAGTTTTTCTACTCTTTGGTTCTTTCAGTAAAGTCACGTAGGTAAACAATAAAATATAAATAATAAAGCAGTAGAAGTGCTGAACCAGGAAGAACACAGCAAGAGAGTTGCTACAACAAAGGGGTTATTTATGTTTGAGGGGCATTTAGCTCAAGGGCAAGCAAGCGGGGTCTTAGCTGGAACGGATTCCCATTCCCGCACGCAAGCACATCAGTTGTGTTAATGGGGGAGATTAGGGGGAGAGAGATTAGGGAGAGAGATTGGCATGTCAAAGTAAATGAGCTTCCGTCACCGTATAAGAGCACCGTCGCCGCACATGCGCAGAGCAGCAGTGTTAATGGGAGATTAGCACTATGTTAATAAAATGTATTAGGGAGAGAGATTGGGGAGATTAGCAAGTTAATGTCAAGTCTATGTGTAGCGCAAGCTGTGGCCAGGCCTGCGCTGTGAGAGGCAAGAGCGTCACGCAAGAGAAACACCGCAACAGTGGCCATGCCAGTGAGACACACAGCCAATAAAACATTAAGAACCATCGATACATCGAGGCAAAGGGAGCAGAGGTGGCCGTGTTAGCGAGACCCCAGCCCGTTAATGCAAAGGCACCTAACATGGCAATGCAACTCAGAGAGTCGGAGATAACAGACAAACGGCAGGAATGATGGAAGCATCACAGCCAGTTATGACTTCACCTGGTTAATAACGTCCTTCCAATGAAGGTACGCTGCAAACCCACTGGCTATCAAAAAAGATTTATTCATGAAGCCATCCAGATATATTAACACAGACACAATTTCAACCGAGAAGATGGGTACAAGCTGAGCAATCATTGGAAGGACGTTATTAACCAGGTAAAGTCATAACTGGCTGTGATGCTTTCATTTTACTTGCCGATGTTAGCAGTTATTTCCGACTTTCTGAGTTACATTACCTTATATTCTTAGTTTTATATATATTTTATTATTTTGTTGTTTCCCTTAAACGTGACTTTACCGAAAAAACTAAGAATATGAATTACTGCCGTCACGAAAGCTTTAAATCAAAATTTACATTACCTTGTTAAATGTCTTTACATTAACAGGCTAAATGTCTCACTGACATAGCCACTGATCCCTTTTCCTCGATGAGGTGGTGACTCTCATTGCTTAATAGGATGAATGTCTCACTGGCACGGCCACCGTTGCGGTGGTTCTCTTGCGTTGACATGCTGGTCTCTCGCAGTGCAGCGGCCAACGCCGCAGCTTTTGTTGCCCACGAGGTGGCGTTGTGTCCGGTTCTCTGACACTGACTTGCCAATCTTCTCATTAACACAGCCACTGCTGTGGGAGCCGTCTCACATTGACATGCTAATCTCTAGCAAAACAATGGTGTCTTCAGCACCGGAGTCGTGGGGTTACATTAACAGATTGACATGCTAATCTCTAGCAATACAATGGCAGGCTCTCCGATCTTACATTTACATGTAAATTCCATCTCTAGCCCTGCCCACTTACCCTTGGGTTGCACCCTTATGAAACCTATATAACCTCTTGCTGCAGCAGCTCTTCCGCAATATTTCTCCTGCCTCAGCAATTCACCAGCTGTGTTGTTTCACCTGAAGACAATTGCTCGTTTTGCGATCGAGGCGTCGTGATTTTTTATTATTATTTTTCTACGTGACTTTACAAAAATACCCAAAGAGTATGAATTCCTGCAGTCACGAAAGCTTCAAGTCAAGATTTAGTTATACACCATTCCCACTCATTTCTGTGTATCCATTTGACGTCTTCACGTGCTGCTCGTGACACTCTCACAGGCGTGACTCCACTTTTGCACACACCCTGGAGGATAAAAAACATTCACAGTGGAGAGACTTTATTGTGTTGAACATTATCACAGCGGGTTCTCCTGAGCAATGCGGGTTGGGCGACTCGATCTTCAGAATGCATTCCACAAGACATAGTTTCCAATAATCTTTGCACCGTTTATTAAATCCTACTCGTATAGTAAGTGGATAAATGAAAGCTCGATTAGATGCAGAGTAAATACAAACCACTGTCAAAAAGCATGCACCAAATGCAAATAATTTTACAAAGAGAGGCCTATCGATATGAATGCGATTTAACCGGCAAACTAAGGATACATGACAACCGTAACAATATTTATATGTTTGTAATTTTAAAGAGTAACTGTGCAATCATTGCAAACCACACAATTACTATATAATGCTTTTACATACTAACGTATCATGCTTATACGTACAATATTTAACCACACGGTTTGCGAGTCATCACTTTCCAGACAAACGCGTCGACTCCATCCACCAGCTATTGGTGGAAATACGAAGCGGTCTCTTGAGTCCTCTGGACGCGAGACGGTTTCCTGCTCTCGTGCACGAATCCATCGAGGACTCAACATCCCGCCTCAGATAATTTCCTCAGCCAACATCATTTGCTTAATTTCAACAAACAAAAACAACTCACACATTCGATTTTTGAGCGTGGTGGTGCACACTCCTCTTAGTTCAGCGCTTTGGAAGCAAGGGTTGGTGGGTGTGTGACAATATCCATCCCACAAGCCGGCGAGGTGACCAGGTTAAAGGATTGCCACAATGGGGCTCGGCTTCTATCGAATACTTTAGGTTTGTTCCACAGCAAAACAAACATCCGAATGTGGGAAGCTTCTAAAAGAGTCGACAAAGTCAGCGAGGCTTTATTGGGCATATTCACCGATTATGTATTGATCACTTGATTTTAATCATTGATGCTTTTATGCCTTTACCACTTGATTTTACTGGAATATTCTGCCGACCTAATATTGACTCACTGATGTTCTTTATCTAGCCAGGTGACATGTGGCCATATTATTTGTTGATAATCACAGCTGTGTGATCAGGAAAGATGTTGAGCCTCGGAGTGCCTGACAAATATCTACTTACATCAGACAGTCAAATAAACCACTAAACAATTCCACATTTATATTCTTAGCTCTTTCGGTAAAGTCACGTTGAAGGGAAACAATAAAATAATAAAAAATATATAAAACAATAATGCAAACCGACACACCTGATGACGACCGTTTGTGTTATGGTCGAAACGTCGTGAGAATTTTTATTGTTTTATATATATATTATTATTTTATTGTTTCCCTTCAACGTGACTTTACCAAAAGAGCTAAGAATATGAATTACTGCAGTCACGAAAGCTTTAAATCAAAATTCCACATTTAGTTGAGGAACCTGATTACTGTACTTGGCTCTGTAGATCAACTGGTTGGCCTGCTGGTCGATGGCTACCACACACATGAGCTGCTTTACCCACCACCCGTGCCTCAAAAGCTCTGAGTAACAGGTGCACACTTTATTTTAGATACCGATGTTAAGAAAGTAATGCTGCAGTGACTCGGAGGCCTTAAACCTACCCTTCACCCCATCTCTATCCATTGAATGGGCTCTCATCCACAGAGCCCATTCACTGCATGAGCTCCAATGTAGAGCAGCGTTGTTTTCAATTACAAGAGTATTTTTAATAACAGTGCAACCTTGTTTGGCTATCAACTTGGGCACGTGGGAGCTCTGGTCCTTGAATACAACGGCCTCGCTGTGTCAATGACGCCTCCCGTATTGATGTCCATGTTGATATCAACTGGTGATGTCTGGCTTCAGTGCTTCAACTATCTCAGTGGTGACTATCGATATCTGTCCACTCTAAACCCATGTCTTCATGATGTACTCGCGTTTTGATGTTGTGATGTCTTCATGGGTTGATGGAGCAGAATGTAGACTGCACAGTAAAACGATCTCATGGTTAATGTAGAACAGATAGACGTGGTCGTGCAGCACAGTGTCATGGATCTGATGTCTTGGACGTTCATCTGGTGTATTGTCGTAGATATCTGTAAGTTGCCCTCTTGTAAAAAAGGCCTGTATGGATAACCTTGAGGACGGTTTAACACGGAGGCTTTTGCAACCAATATCATCCCTAATACAGTTCTTTTGGGTTAGATCGCATGAATATAAATGTGTCATTAAACCCCACACCATCCGACATAGCCAATTAGTGAGGTTTGTCACGTAAACAGAACGTAGCCAATTCGTCACTAGTACAGCACACCGGTTGTGTATTGGAGAGCAAATCCACAACAATTACAATCTTAGTACGATGTTTCGCCAGTAACTACAACTAGCTTCATCAGGCGACAGCCAGATTTGGCCATCTTTGGTGGGAGCACCTTTTTGATGGAGAGGCAAGCTGACAATAGCCTGGGACTTGTGTCATCATACAAAAGCGCGCACACACACAAAGGATTCGTTTCACAAACACACTAACGCACAATTAAAATAAGTAACTTATGATATGTTCCTCTGGGAGATGTGGTAGATTTTAAAGGGATTTGGCTTTGCCCCCTTTATCCAGAAAACATCTGGATCACATCCTGCTTCACGTCCTTGATGGATTTCCAGTCGTCAGGAATAACTGCCGGCTTGAGTCCTCGTTCTGCAGCAAATCTCTCATTGTGCTTCCACAGCACGAACTTCCAGAAGGATGGGATCTCCATGTCTGCCGCTGCTGGGATGTCCCAGGATTCGTAGATTTTGTTGACAGTGCGGTACTGACTGTATTCTATATATTTCCATTGTGTACTTGCATTTTTGAATGTATGGCGTCCGATAAACCACAAAGTTGATTTTCTTGCTACAGAAGTTGTGCATACTTCAGCGGACAACTGATTCGTGTTGCGTTGCTGCTTAAACAGACTGAGGGTAGTGCATTGTGGCCCTGTGTTCTCTATGATGATGGCCAATCTCGTCACAGGGAGCCCCGCACAGGGGACACTTTTCACCACAGCCAGCAGCCACCTTGAGGAGCTTCTCATGCGGCTTCACGGATAGAACTTCCAGCATCCCCTTAACATCACACGACTCACTGCATTCACCTACAGCGCTCATCTCTCTGTCGAGACATTTATTTAGTTCATCAGAAAACGTGCTGGCGTCGTATGTCTCCTCAGATTGTAAGAAACCAATAACATTGTTGAAATTAAACCGTATTTCATTCGGCAAATTCGTATTTATACAACTTAAAATAGCTAACAATGTCCCATCTCGGATATGTGTTTCTGATTTTTCCAGAGATGCCTTGATCTGTTTAGCCATTTCACTCAAAATGTTATTTTTTAAGTGGCATATATTATGGAGCACATTTGTAGGTTTCTCTTTAGAATACTCTAAAACTTAGTTTTTTATCCACGATTTTGTGAAACTGTCATTGTTGTCTAAAAAGTCTAGATAACATGAACCATCGTCTATTTCCAACAGTTGCAAGAGAGTATTCAATTGAAGAGTTTTACGGCTGGAATAAGACCCAACCTTTCTCATGTTCTTCACTATCTCTTCCCCCAGACGTTTGTTTAAGTGTTTTGACATTGCAGGGCCAAGGCAGTCTTTGTAAATTAATGCAGTCAACCACTTTAATTTCTCATCCTTGTCTTTCTTATTTCCAGCCTCATACAAAGTTGTGAAATTATTGAAATACTTCACTTTCATTTCTTCAAGTTTAATTGATGGATCATTTTGATTTAAAAAGGTCTCATGGTGGCTTGTGAAACGTGCAATAGCGATACAACAAATATAATATTTAATGTCTATTATGAACTTATTGTTGTATTTCTTATCAGGTTGTTGATTCAAGAGGTCATCTACATTCTTCAGCAGTTCGTCCCAGTAATAAGGACAGTAATCTGTATTATTGTTACATTTTATTTCGACAAAAGTTTCACAAATTTCTATTCATTCATCTGAAATGTTCCATAATTCTTTAGGGTCTGTGACAAGACGACGAGTTGGTAAACGTTTATTAGACAAACTGGCTAGATGTTAATTTTATACCTCGAATTTACCCTTGTTTGAGGAAGCTGTAGTTGGATTACTTAATATTGCGTTTACCATTCCTTCGTGCTGATTTATGTTTTTGCGAAAGGAGTTTTCCATGTCAAGTCTTGTCGTGCTTTGTCACGGTAAATGTTGTCAATTGAGGGACTGATGTTAACCAAATGCGCTCATATTCATGTCTAAGCTGTTCGTGTCCCAAAGGGTTTCCTTCACGTTTCTTCAGAAGCTTGTGAACATTGTCTGATATATTTTGGAAGCAATCGTTACTTATTTTTTCTAAAAATGCATTAGATTTTTTCCTAGCGAGAAACTCTGAACATTTGGCAAGAGTGTTATCCAGAAGTTATCTTTGTAAATGATCAGCACTAATGCAAAGATCCTGCTTGTATTTTACAACAACTTTGAAAGTTTTGAAGTTTTGTTCAAATAAATCATTTGTGTGTTTTATAATCATGTCTTTGCCATTTTTTGCTTCAGTTGTAGCTTGTTTTATTAATGTTTGATGCAGATTAGCAACTGTTTCTTGTGAGGCCTTTTCTATGCCGAGCTCTGCAACATGTAAGAAATCAATCAGTCTCTTACGGAAGATCCACTCCCTTTCTGCAAACTTTTGATTAAGTGCATTGTAGGCTTTAACAACAAGTGTGTTTCTGAATGGGAATATATGTTTCATTTTTCACATTGCGCCAAATGTCGCTTATCCACTGGCTCCATTCTGATATTGTGCAACAACATTCTGACGCATTTTTTTTATTTAGATGACCTGATAAGATATATCTTTAATTGATAAACCTTCTCACTGTATCCATCACTAACCAAAGCCATACAAGAAATGCCATGCAACAATCCAGGGATGAAGTAGTTGTCTTGCATTAGATCATATTTAATAACATCACTGAACTCTTTATAGTACAGCTGTTTGTGCTCCATTTCCGCAGCAGATATCGTTAATGCGTTGAGCTGATCAAGCAATTCCTTTTTAGCTAGCATGTTGTTTTCTTCAGCAGATACATCTCCAGGATTTTGATGAACGAACACGCAATGTGGCTTTTTATTTTCCACTGTCATCCTTAGGAAAGCATGTACAACCATCTGCAGAATCTCTTTCATTTCCTCAGCATTTTCCATCGTCAGATTAATGAGAGTAAGATCGCTTATCTTCTTTGGTTCTTTCGGTAAAGTCATGTAGAATGAGAATAAAATAATAAATTGATAAAATAAAATAACGCAATAAAATTCTCACGACGTTTCGGTTACAACACAAGCGGCCTTCATCAGGTGAAGGGACAAAACTGTCTGGAGGACAGCGCTGGAGTGAAAAAGCCACGCTCAGATCGCGACCTTTAAGCTGTGTGAAAAGAAACAAAGCGCCTTGACAAAGGAATTAGCATAGAATTTAGCATTGAAATAGCTGAGTGATTAGCTTGTGACTGGTCGCAGATATAGCTATGTTAAAGTCAGAGCATACACATTCACAGAGACACCTAGTACAAATCAAACAGGATAATTTAGCATTCAAATAACTAGGAGAATTTAGCATTGAAATAACTGAGTGAATAGCCTGTGACTGGTCACAGAAATGGCTATGTTGAAGTCAAAGCCTACACATCTGAGCTATTCACAGTAACTGGGTATACACTACACTATATAATGAATACTATATAGTGAACCAATAAAAAAAACTAAAATATAAAAAAATTACCTCAATGTTATCAATAAACTCTATATATTCTCCAATCAGCTAAGCTACCAACAATAAGTCGTTATATATCACAATGCTATATGGCGAAAAAATTGGTGGATTCTTACCCTCAACTTTAGCACCACGGATAGCTACGGGCTCCGTTCAGACGGACGAGTTCATCCATGGTCGGAACGGAGGAGGGGGAGAGAGACAGCTGCGAGGCGCTGTTATACTTCATGTTGTAAACCATACCATTAACCGTGGTGTGAGAGGTATTAATAGTCAATGCCAGCGAAAGAGCTGCGGTCTGAAGGTCATCGTAAAATACAATTGATTAAGAACGGAAATGGTTTAAAACATCTTTCCAATGGTTACTAAGCCAGAATCCATCTTCTCGGTTGAAATTGTCTCTGTGCTTGTATATGTGAATGGCCTCATGAACGAATCTCTCATGGTAGCCGGTTGGTTTGCAAAGAACCTCCGTCTTGGAGAAGTAAATGTCATGTGAGCTCACTGAACTATAACAGTGATCTGCTACGGCAGAGGAGTTCGTTCTACCGTGTTTCAAGTCTGCTTAATGTTCGCGGATGCGGTCCGAGATATGTCGTTTGGTTTCTCCGATGTAGCTACTACCACAGAGGCACTTTAGTTTGTAAATGCCCGGGTACTGTATGTCTGGAAAAGCATCTTTTACAGATGGAAGCAAATCACGGATTTTATGTACTGTGTTGAATCGGACTTGGATCTTGTGTTTATTCAGGATTTTGGAGATCTTTTTAGTGACCCCTGCAATGTAGGGTAAGGTGATGGTTTTGAGTGGCTCCACAAGAGGATCCTTCTTCATGACTGGAGTGATGGCTTTTCGGATTGTGTAGTCGGAGTAACCATTAGCCCTGAGAGCCTGGTGTACGTGCTTGAGTTCACTGGTAATGTGTTCCTGGTCGGAAATCCATTGGGATCTATGGTATAGAGTCTTGATGAGGGAGTTCTTCTGGGATGGATGGTGGTGGGAATCCGGTTTCAAGTAAGCATCTCTATGGGTAGCTTTCCTGTAGACAGAGTGGCTCATTGAACCATCATGTCTCCTTTTAATTGAGACATCCAAAAAGGGTAGTTTGCCATCTTTTTCGATCTCCATGGTAAATCTGATGGCTGGGTGTATGGAATTGATGTGGTCGCGGAATTGGTCTAGAGCAGGCTGGCCATGT